TGGTTTTCTCTGTGGCAAAGAGTTGTCCTCATTTGCAGGCCTAAATCAGGGGATCACAACTTTCCTAAGGTGGGACAGGTTGCTGCTTGCAGAGCAGTCCAGCTCATTGCTCACACATCTTCTTAGCTTTCTCACAGCTCCAGGACAGTTCTCTGAGCCAGAGCTGTATTCTACATACTTTAAAATATCATGTGGTTAAAATGGTAATATCCAAAAAGATATCCTGCCAGGGGGACAGGTGTCCAGTTCTTAACTACATTCCTGTCCTTCCCTCACTGCACACTTTGTCCCATCTGAGGGAATTTGTGGTGCTGTGCATGAGAGGCAGGAGACCCTACAGCAGCTCCTTTCACTGCCACTGCTCTGGGAGGCTGTCACCTGCTCCCCAGCACGCTGACATTAGGTAAGAGTAATGTTGGTCTTTGAAAATAAACCATAAAATCGCTATGAAAACTTGTTTCTTCTGTGTAGATTCTAAATTTCTACCTGTGAGGGGATGGAGAAGGGGCTGTCAACTCCTATATGCACAAACAACAAGGCAAGAAGATACTGAAAGAAAATCCATTTGTTCCAACGTTCCCCCCCCCCCCTTTTCTTTTCCATACAAATTAAATCCTCTGTACACAAGGAGAGGTGAACTGGTGCAGCACGACATAATGGAACAGTTTCATTTCACTGAGACTCTCCAAAAGGCAGAGTCCTTGTGAGACCAAAGCCTGTAACACTGAGAAGGACAGACTTTACAGTCTGTTCCCTGTGCCACCAGAAACACATTTCCTGTCTTGGCTCACCCAGGCCCCAGAACAAATAAATAAATAAATAAACAAACAAATAAATAAATAAATACATTTATGGAGCAACACGTCCAAGAAGCAGCAAGCAGAAATGCATCCCAGAGGGGTGCTAAAGCATATAATAGCTGTATTTGTCTTCCTGGATATGCCTTGGTACAACACTACAAAAAAAGGAGGCAGGATCATTTGTTGTGCTCAGGTTTTAAGAGATTTCTGAGTAGATCTGTTAAGCTTGCATGATGTTAACAAAACCTACCTGAACACAGGAGCTTTTGCCTTTCTGGGACAAGAGTCTTTTTTACCAAAACAGCAGAGAGGCACTTAGGAAGTGGTGATGCAAGTGGGTATGGATTTTACTTCAGGATAAATTCCAGGCAACTTTTCTACTGCTTCCTCTTCCTTGTCCAGCCATATACAAGCTGGGGTTTTTGTTATTTCAGAACAGACTACAGGGATTTGATCATTCAGTGTTCATATTACTGCCTCAAGCACTTGCAACACCACTGCCTTCAGAGGGAGGTATCCAGCCTGGGAAAATCATAACAACCCAGAGAGACTGCCATAGGATGGAGGTTTGTTGGAACAAACATATCTTCCCTCAGAAAGCTTGGATGAGGGGATGCTGTGAAAATGAGAACAGCAGACCTGGAGTTTGTGGATCAAAGAAAGTCAGGCAGAAGATATAAAGAGCTTAAAATGTTTTTCTTTGTTGCTTTGTGTTTGGTATCCAAACTAAAACAACTGAACAAAACACACCACAGAAAGTACTAGTGCAAACCATTCCATATCTGCATCTTCTCATATTGCTGAGACAATGATAGTCTCTAAAATATGTTTTAGGTCACAGTGTTATGGCATTGGAGCTAACAACATGCTTCCCTAAAGGAAACTGGGTGGGTTGCTGTCTAGAGACTTCACTCTTGAGTATGAGCATGACATAAAACAGGAAACTGCTGACAAAGAAACAAGACTAGCACTTGGGACATCCAAGTTTTATTCTCCAATTTCTTCAAGCAAATAATTTCTCACCCACTTGTTATGTGTTTCTCAGCATGATTGGAAGCTGTTAGGGTTGTGGACTTCCTCAGCAGCTACCCAGCATAATGGGACCCCAAGTTTTCATCAGGATCTTTGGCTAACCCTGGCACACAAAGGTCAAACTGTTTCTAAGGAAGGTTCTCTGCTGGAAGGCTGAATACAAGAAAATTGAATGAGAACTCAAACATGTCCCAGGTGCCACCAGTTCACAGTCCAAATGAAAAAAAAAAAAAAAAAAAAAAAAAAAAAAAAAAAAAAAAAAAAAAAAAAAGAAACCAAACTGACTGGATCAGACCAAGTACCTCTGGCTGGTCTTTATCCTTTAACTGAAAAGAAAAGCAGTCTTTGCAAAGTGATAAAGCCACCCAAGAATGGCTGCAGTTGTTTCTTTTAAATGAACTAGAGGGAACAGATGGTGTCCTCTCATACTGTCACAAAGGTCAAAATTAGCCACCTCTAAGACTAGTAGGTTCTTGAAATGCTCAAATGCTTGTGTCTGGTCCTTACGACTAATCCACTCTCCCAGACAAGAAAGGTCAAATGAAGAACATTCCTACAAAAACTGCAGCTACTCCAAGCTATGGCTGATGTGTAATGCACTCAGACATGGTGTCAACAGCTGCTCCTAAAATGCAATGAGTCAGCCTTTCAGAAGAGCATGCCAGCTTTCACTGTTAGAGCTTTCATATGGATTACATTTACTCCCCAGTGTTTAAAAATATCCTTCTTAAACACTGAAAATATAAAATGTTTTCCTTACTGATTTTGTCCCTTTTGCCCAGGCAGCTGCCCAAGAATGTCTTGTGCATTTATTTGGGAGCAACACATCCTAGCCCTTCTTCCACTTTCCTTATCTTGTGCTGACAGGTAAACCAAAGGAAGGCCTCTGTTTTCTGAAGTCATGTACAAAAGAAGAATTTCTAGTCCCTTTCACAACTTATGCCTCTGAACCACAGTCAGCCTTCCAGAGAGCTGTGGGGTCACAGGTTTTTCCCAACAGGGCACAGAGACACTGGGTGACTCTCCTTTGGTCCTATAACAGGCGTGTGGGTACAAATCCCCTATCCATCCCCATCTCTAATCACCAACCTCCCTTGGATACTGTCATTTCAATAAAAAGGCCTATTGGAAATGACAGGTGAAGAAAGCAGCCCAGGCATGAAATGCACTCTAAAGTATATTAATAGAAGGTTGCCAGACGAAACGGCACAAGGCATTTGATCGCATCATCTTAGGCTGGTTGTTCATGCTCCTTTGCATCTGGCTCTGTGATTCCTGCCAGATTCTTGGCTGGAGGAGCAGAGGAGGATTTGCCTGCCTTCCCTAACCCGTGCCGGGCTCAGCTGCAATCATGCAGAGCACTGAAAGAAATCCCTTTGAGTTGGGATTCATTCCGAACATGTAAAACCCAAATGACTGCTTCTCCAAAGTGAATCCCATTTCACAGCAAGTAGGTTATTAGTGTGGAACTCCATACAAGTAGCCTGCATTCAAAAGCCCTCTGCATTATTAATAGAAGATGAGCTTTTGACATCAAAGGAGAACCATTATGTATGCTAAACGGTGGCAAAAATTGTACCCGCACTTCAAACCTTTTCAGCGCTTTGTCCCTTGTAAATCAATCAAGGTTGACAGATGCTTTAAGGAGAGTAATCTTTTCAATGATACTGTCAATGGATAACATAATGGAACATTGTCTCTGTGCTGTGTGAAGACATGGAGCTAGTCAATTATGGACAACACTTCATGCAGCCGCCAGTTTTCACTTGAAGTGCTGCTGTTGAAGTATTATAATCCCAACAAATGGCCACAGCAGCATACAATGTAAATGAGACCTCCTGAAGCTTTGGAAAATTCATTAGTAACAACAGTGGTCCATTCCCACACTTTCAAACACCAGCCTGGTAATGTTAACGATGCACTTCCCCCCTTCCCTTTGAGCAGGCAGTAGAGCATATTTACATACACTATTTTAGGTCTTCAGCACATTTCCCCCCCTATTTTGGATTCCTTTCCTCTCTTCACCTGATATTTCCAACAAGACACATAACCCACATGGCTGGAGAGGGAAAACAAGAAAACAGACCTTCCTACTTGGCTACATGTTGTCACTTCACACATATGAGACATGCGGGACATGGCTGTTCCTTTTTCCAACACTTCTGCCTGCTCAGCTGCCCTGGGAAGAATGGCCTGGAGGGATGGCAGGGGAAAAGCTTCCAGCCTCAAGAGACCAGTGGGATGTCAGAGGGAAGCTGAATGCACCCAGTGCCAGCAGCACCTGGGTGGAACTCTGCTCCAGAGTCAAAAGGGAGAGGCTGTGCTGTTTATTTAGCTCTTGGCTTCTATTTCCTACATCATCTTCTCAAAGATTTTCCCATTGTCAAGCAAGGCTTGTGCTAAGAGGAACACTTAATCTCCCACAGTAGCAGAGAGAAATACCACACTTGAGCACAGAATCTCTAAACTCCTATCAACTGCAGGTTTTCATTGTTATGATCTGTGAATGCCCCTTACCCCTAATGTGTTTTTGAAACAACCAGGTGCAGACCAGAAACTCAATCACTGAGGTCTCCTTGGGTAAGAACAAGCTGTTCCTTGAACCCAATTTCCCCTTTCCCACTCTCCAAGCTGTAAGTATTGGGCAATTGAAAATCCTCTTGCAGAACAGTTTTCTATGGTAATATCAAAGAATTTCAAAATTATTCATTCCCTTTGCCACAACTTTCAACAGATGTTATCTAACCTTTTCTTTCAAGCTGATTAATTTCATTTCTATTTGCTAGCATATTATTATTTAGAGTATACAAGTAAAATCTTTGACAAATTAATATAAGCATTGGAACAATAAAGTTGATCCAATTGATCAAAAGACAAAAGATGTGACAGGCTGTGCCAGTATTTCAGAACCAAAGGTTATTAAACAGAAGATGAAAAACCTGCTTTTGTTCACGTGTCTGATGACATATATAAGATCACAACTTACCACTGCTGGATAAGGTAAGTATAAGAGGGAAGATGGTAGCTAATAATACAATTTTTAAGTAGGCTTTTATTCATACTGGAATAAAATTCACTCAATCAAATAAAGCCAGAGATTTATCATAAAGAAAAAAACAAAAAAACCCCAAAAAACTAGGAAAAGATAATTAAGAAAAACTGACTTACATAAGAGAAGTCTTCAGCATTCTGACAGAGCAGCTTGGGAAAAACAGCCTGCCGTTGAAATCTTTCCTCATCTTCAAAGATGTTCCCATACATGAAGCCATTCATCATGGTGGAGTGGGCATGGATGTCGATATAGAACTCCAGGTTAATCTTCTGTTGAGGGAAAACAACAACAACAAAGCATTCAGCACGAGATAAATCATAACTGAGTTATGCAGGTGAAGCCTCCCATAAATCCAATCCTGCCATTCTTGAACCCATCCATGGTTCCAGCATCAGGGAGCCACATTGAAGATCACACTGTGATGCACACAACCATTCCTGCCTCTCTGTGGGGGCATGTGAAATACAACAAAGGACCATGACAGACATTTCTTTACCTTTTTTTAGAATATTAGAACATTCTGCACAGGACACTGTGCAAAATAGAGCCAAACCATCCTTCATTGTGATACAGGGCTTACTGCCAGTGACAAAAATATGAACCTTCCAGTTCTAGAGCACGATTATTTGGGCATAGCTTTGCCATCTTTGCACAGTTCTGCATTGAATTATGCAGATGTTCCCTTCTGCCAGGTGAAACAGGCTCAAAATTGTGTAAAAAAGACTCCAATATTTCCTGTGCAGTTTATTTCTTGTGTATAAGGAGAAATAATGCAAATGTTTTGCCTTCCTCTCCTTCCTAGCAGTAACTCTCCAAAGAAAGTGCCTGGAATAGCTCCCTGCTTGTAGCTCCCTACAGGATTCTGCACCAACTCTTACTTTAAAGGAAGACAGCAGGACCCTCTAGCACAGAAGTGCCTGCTCTGCCAATACTCTTCCCATGGCATCAGTGGGAAAGAGGGAATGTTAACCTGGATCCCTACACACAGTGCCATCAGCAGCACTAGCCAGCACTAAAGAGTGATACCAGAGCAGATGCCACTGAATTACCTAGTTTCTCCAAATTCTTACAACTTTTGGACCCAAACAAATTATGTCACAAGCCCATCCCTGTCACCTGGCCAGCACGGGGCCACTGTGGCTGTCCTGGTGCCCAGATCTCAGATGTCCCTGCCTCAAGAGAGGGATGGAGAAGAGCTCTGCTGGCAGCACGATGCTCATGGTGCTTCTCCCTGAGCTGCAATACAGCAGGAAGCTCTGCAGCCCCAGGCCTCTCCAAAGCTTGCTGGGCTGCTGGAGAACACTGAGCCATGGCACACTCAGTGTGACAGGAAGGCAGGTTGGGCTGGGCAGTTCATGTGGCAGCAGTGTCAGCTCTTCTAGAGCCTCTGATGGGGGGAGAACATCATTTGGTATATGACACTAATATAATACAGATTTACTTTCCCCTGGCAGGAAACCAGTGTATAATACACAGCGACTGCTTAGTTTAATTAAACAGCCTAGAGAGAGTAATAATGTATCTTATTAAGCCTCTGCTATGTTAAAATGTTAGCTAATGCAATATCAATATCTGACCATGCTTCATAGGAAAGGGAACATTTGATTGTGTTTGACTCTAATACAATAAATTGTGTGCTCCTGCCAAAACATTCTGCTGCGCTATAGAGGAGCAGCCCTGCAATAAAGCACACATCTGCTATTTGGAGATACAGCACTGAGGAGAAAGATTAGCATTGACAGGATGAAACACCACACAGGATTTTCTTCCTCTCCAAGCATACAGAAATTAAAAACCAAGATTAAGTAATACTATTTTCATGAGATAATTTCCCCATCACAAACAGAATTTGATGAGATCAGATGCACACTGGCATATCACCATAAAACAGAACATGTTGTAGAGTCTCAAAACAGTGATTTGATGAAGTGAGCAGATAATCTAGTTAAACTGGGTATTTGTAAAGCATGAATGTCCTTCACACAGAAGTCAGTGACCTAAGTCATACTTATTTTAGAACAACCAGACAGAATTCTTTATAGGAACATAGTTACTAACATAAAATAATGGAGAAGCACAGTGATATATATATATAACAATAGACTAGAATAATTTGTGACTTAAGACAAATAAAATTGCTGGTGTAAACTGCATGATTTATGGTATGTCATGGTGTACTTATTCATTTATAGTTTTGAAGTTGTTTCCAAAAGAAGGTGGCCACAGACAGAGATGCAGAGGCACAGATTTCTAAGACAATTTTCCACAGGCTGTCCAGCAAGAAATTCACCTGCAGAACATGAGTGACCTGAGCCTCAGCTTAGTATTCAATTATCAAGTTATCCAGTCTAACACAGTGTCACTGGAGTATTTTCTAAACTCTCCTAGGACCTTCACTCAAAAAAATTGTTGGTAGAAATGTCACAGAGAATATCAGAAAGTCTCCTGGTGTGCTGAATTTTCCTTGAAGATCTTTTTTGTTCACCAAAACCATTTTCAACTAATCTGGTTGAATGGTTATTTGTGAGGGAACAGTGTCCTTTACAGATGTCCCCCCACCTAAAGATTAAGCTTCCAGATCCCTTATTTGGAAGCTGTGACATTAAACAGGTAGCTCATCACCCAAACAAGTGTTCAAAAACATTTTTCAAGTCATCCATTTCAAGATAATTAAAAAGTAATTTCTGAAGTTAGCCCACAATGACTATTCAACTGGGGTTTTTTTGGCCTTTGTTCCTTAACCTCCAACTGAATATACAAAAATCTCTATTTCTCATATTCCTGTGCACTAAATTTAGTCCAAACTTGCAACTGTCCATCCTATTCAGCATGTTTTTAAACATTGCTAGAGTAATTGCTAGTTAGATGTACTACTTCCAGACACTGCTGTGTGTAAGCAGAACAGCATTTCACATTTCTCCTCCTCACATTCATTACTTTATCAAAGGGAAACATGTTCAGCATTCTCCATTACAGAACAAAATAATTCAGTGCATTGTTGATATAACACATCAGTTCCTAATGGAAAAAGTCCTCTTATTCCCAGACACAAAGTTATTGTGGCCTTAAAATGGACAATAACAGCCCAGTCGCTGGGACATTAAAAGTTTGCCACCTCGTACCTCAAGTGGTAGACCAAGCAGCAGACAATTTGTTGGCACTCAAGCTTCACAAGAATTATGCTATGCTCCTGAACAATAATGGTATTTCTGCTTCCTCTTTAGAGCCACAGATATCCATAGGTGCTTTACATGTAGGAATTGTTTCCCCTACTGCCACACAACAAATTTAAGCAGGGGAATAAAGTTTTATATTTCAGTTGAGGTTCTCTGGAAGATTTTGACATAATTACTAATCTCCAGCAATTCAGGTAGGATCACAGAATTAACATTTTATGGAATATATAATGTCATCTACTGATGGAAATTTCAGCAAAGTCAGCAGAGAGGTGACCTCCTGAAATTGTTGCTCTTGGAGATAGGAGAACTTTAGTGGGAGAATGAAGTAAATAACATGTGTTTGCATTTACATGAGCACATGCAAACACACTTAACCCACTGCTATCTGCTGTCATACCCCAGGGGTATCTGCCAGTATCTACACACCACAACCCACCCCCATCAGGGCTTCTCTTGCTGCAGCACCTGCAAGTGAGAGGGGGAATAAATTTAGAAGTGGTTCAAAGTCTCATATTCACATTTTTCTTTATGCAGAAAATAATGAATAACTAGGCTCAAACGGCTCTGGGTGCCACAGCTGCCTTCTGAGAGACTTACCAGTTACATCCTACAGTATGATATTAAACTCATCATTTTCTGCTTTAGAGGTATAATGCAAAATGATTCAGATGCCTTATAAAAGTCATCATGCAATTTAATTCTCTCAAGTGCCTTTTCTTTGTGCTTACAAGCAGTGGCAGAGTTTTCCTCTCTCACACTGTTTCTTAAGTAAAGCTGTAATTACCTGGATGACCCAGGTTACAGAGCTCCAGGAAACAAAGGCACACTTGGTTTTTCTTTTCTCTGAGTCTCAAAACAGAAATCACTTACTAGACTGACAGAGACAATGATTGAACCCCACTTCTTTGGAAAGAAAATATTCTCTCCCTTGGAAAGAATGTTTTTTTTATCTCTTCTTGCCACTTACCATATAAACCTAGCATAAGTAAACAAGCAAATGAATTTCTGCTCTAAAGTTCATTTGAATCCCTATTATTGTGACATGCACTTTCCGACTGAGTCAGTCTGAAGTTTCTGTCAGCTTGAGAAATGTACATATAAATTAGGGGGTGGTGAAAATGAAAGAAATAATGAATTAAGAAAAATAACTCGCATTGTCAAGAGAGGAAATAGTTAAAGTAGTATAGAAGCTGGTTCATGATGGCACAAAAGTTTTGAGAAAATATATTCTCACTTGTCTGCATTTTTACTTCCTTCACTGAATGCCTTTTGGAAGGTTAAATTAAAGAGTAAAGGAAAGAACTATGTTAATAGCCAGTGCTGATGTGACCAAACGTAGACTTTGAACAGTGCAATTATGTTTCTTAAGAAAACAGAGGTTTAATAAATAAATAAATATAGGGCAGTAAATGCTGTAATAAAAGGATAAATGTGCATTGAGCCCAGAACATGAGCCACTAGAGAGACAAGTGATGCAGCAAGAAGCCAGCTCTGTCCACCAGCTGTCACTTCAATATGGATTTTATTAATTCTTGGGCATAGCAATTGGTTTAGAGAGAGAAGCATCCAAAAGCCTTCTCCACTCCAATATTTCATATAGGGGATGGGATAAACTCCTTGCAATGTTTTATACAAGCTACTAAAACCATGGACTGTCATTTGTTGCAAAGAAGGGAACAGCCTCCAGGCAGACTTTGTGCTCTTGCTGCTAAACCACTGTTTGGAGTAAATGGACATTCAACAGCTGGCTCAGCAGATGGAGTTTGCCCCTTTTCATTCAGAAGACATTCAGAAATTCCCAGAAGAATGGCTACTTTGATGCTTCCTCAGGTATCTCTCCAAAGAAAAATTCCTCAAAATAATCTCTCAAAAGAAAATTTTGCACGTGTCTCTAAGACATAAACCCATTGTTACCTCGGGATTAATTATTTTGGCTATGCTTACAGTGGTGACAGCAGAAAACACAAAGCACAACGTGATCCTAAGGAAAAGGAAGGAAAACTGACCATTCAGCATCACATGGCCAGCAGTCCACATTCAGCTACAAAGCACCACTCCCTTCCCCTTTCAGCCCGATTGAATTGTGCCCC